ACTGCTAAAGTCCCTCTACGGAATCAAGCAGGCCCCATGGCTGTGGCAACAGCACCTGCACACCCGCCTCATCCGCATCGGATTCCGCCAACTGCCCCATGACCAGGGCATGTACCGACTCACTAAAGGCGCCAACTACATCCTACTCATCGTCTACGTCGACGATCTCTTCTACATCGGCTCCACCGACGACGTCACCACCTGGTTCGAAGGGGAGCTGCAGAAAGATCTCACGCTCACGGTTTCTTCTACCGTCACGCAGTACCTTGGACTCAACATCCGCGAAGAAGAAAACGCAATCTATCTAAGCGCCGAGAAATACGCCGACACGATCGCCAAGCGCTTCTCGCTCACCCCTACCGCTATTGCCACGCCATACCGCTACACGGCAGGAAACGGCCAAGGAAACTCCACCCTACTAAAAACCGCCGGAATACGCGACTACCAGCGAAAACTGGGCTGTCTGCTCTTCGCAGCCGTCACCTGTCGCCCAGACCTGTCCTACTCCGCTAGCCAGCTCGCTACCTACCTCAAGAGGCCTGAAGCAGATCACATGTCAGAACTCGATCGCGCACTGCACTATCTCGTGAGCACACCGATGATCGGCCTGACTTACTACAAGAACGAAGCTGCGTCAACGAAACTAATCGGTTATGTCGATGCCGATCATGCCGGCGATCCAGATAACAGGCGCTCTCGCACCGGCTACGTCTATCGTCTCGAGCCTATCGGACCTATCTCCTGGCAGTCGAGTAAGCAGGAACTAATCGCTCTCTCTTCAGCTGAAGCAGAATATATCGCCCTCTGCTCAGCCACCAAGGAAGGACTCTACCTTCGCGAACTGCTGGAAGAAGCAAAGTTAGCTGAGTTACCCAGCTTCACCCTGCACTGCGACAACCAATCTGCAATTCGCATCGCCAACAAAAACGGATTCGCGAACAGAACGAAGCATATCGCTCTGCGATACTTCTTCGTGAAAGACGAGATAGAGAAAGGAAGACTCGAGTTATCCTACTGTCCCACGTCCGAGATGGCAGCCGACTATTTGACCAAGAAGCTCGGAAAACAGAAGTTCGAGTACTGCATGCTGCTGACTGGACAAAGCCACGTCACCATCAGCGACACTCCAGAAGCGAAGGGGAGTGTTGGGAATAATAAGTCTTAAAACGCCTCTGTCGTGTCGAAGCTCAGGACTCAAAGCGAAGCAGTCCAAATCGAAGCATCGCGAGTCAACCCTCGGAGGTTGGGGTAACCGCCTGGAGGTTACGCGAAGGTCAAAGGTCAGCGACCTTTGACTTGACCAATACAGCGCGACAGCAAGGACACACAACTGACTCGACATTGAGCAGTTGCCCGAGTCGCACTGTATCGAATCGCAACAGCAAGACAGTTATCTTATCTATTCGTATTCCTTGTACTCTTATATAAAGCCTTGTACTTGCTTGTTTTAATCAACTTACTTTGCCCTCACATACCAGCGCAAGGTGGTTCAAGATCTTTTATTCAACGCTTCCGCTATTACAAATCCTACCCAGACTTTAACTCTACAAAGATCCTTAGGGCTTATCAGCCCAACACCTCTCTCCATCCCATCCTGTATGTATTAAGTCCCCCAGCTTCATCTCCAGCAGGCACTCTGACCCCTTTTGTCGGCCAAAGGGACTTTTTCCCCTGTAGAAGATATATCTGCTGAAGCAAATCCTCTCGTTAGCATACTCCCAACGGTTCGCTGGTGCCGGCAATTTCGATTGCAGGGTCTGCCAGAAATTTGTGATGTGTTGTGCTCGATGCGGATTTGGATGGGTGGGAGAAGTGGAAATGTCATAGCAAGCTTGCGACAATTTTGTGCTTGTTGTGACTGATCGTATCAGAAGTCGGAAACAACTTCTAGTCGGTCTTGTTACTACTTGGGGACTTGCCCTGTTCGGAAAAAAAAACACCAAACTTTCAGGAAATTTTCATGAGCTTTCTAGTGGATCCAACTAGAAGGGGGGGGGTCACTATTTTAGCTGCTGGCTTTAAAGCAGCAGTATACATTGGGCAGGACTGTTGGAGGTTGTACAGTGCCCAATACTATTTCGGGCTAGTGAAAGTGAAACATCTTGGCGAGAGTATTGGCGAACATTCCGAGCCCCTCCACCACTTGTAGAGATTTGTGCATGTAAGGAAGGCAACTTCAGTTGAGTGGCCCTGTAATTTGGTTACCACCAAGTCCCACTTATAAAGTTTTGGCACTGGCCCTGCCAAATGTACACTGCTGCTGCTTTAATTATAATACAGCATACCTTAGCCACATCAGCAGCAGCATGTTTCCCATCCGATAATCAAGAGAATTTGGGCCACTTCGTGATTGGTGTCACTCTCAATCTCAGTTGTCATATTCCTACGCATGATTTTGCTAGAAAATGTGTAGTGCCAGGATAGCGGAACATTCTACAAAGAGGTCAGATATAATAAATATGCAAATGGAAGTGTGCAGAAGTCATCAGATTAAAATGCCGCGGTAAGACCAGCAGAGAAAACCGAGCCAAAACCATGACTGAAATATGGCTGAAACATGTTACACATGCGCACAGATTCACAGGTGCACAGATCAAGGAGTGAAGGGCGTGCTCCACTGCCCCCCCACAACGCTGCCACCACCGCCACCGCCGCCGCCCTTCTCTGATGTGCCATCATTGGTGGAGGAGGCATGTGTGGAGCTGGGCACATGCACGTGCATGATGACACCCATGGGTGCCTGGCGCGGGTGCATAAACCCTCCTGATGCCGCTCCTGCAGTGTGCGCGTGATGCTGCTGAGATGGCTCGAATGGCAGGTGAAAAACTGTCTGCGGCTGCGGCTGCGGCTGCAGCTGCTGCTGCTGCTGCTGCTGCTGGTGGTGGTACTGCTGGTACTGCTGCTGCTGGTGCCGCTGCTGCTGCCCAGGCATGGGCTGCATGTGCTCCCATGGTGCACCCAGCCTGCTCTCCATACCCATGCCCACTGCTGCACTGCTCGTCCCCATGCCCCATTCTGCCGTTCCTATCCTTTCACCCACTGTTCCCATCCCTCCTTCTGCCATGCCCATGCCCATGGCCATTCCCATGCCCCCAGGTATGGCATGAAACCCTGAATTCAGGGGATTCAAATAAGTGACGGCCATGTTGTCAGCATACATGCCAGACTGCGGAGCAGCCAAAGAGGGTTGTGAGGACGAAGGAGGAAGCACAGTAGGAGGAGGAGGGACCTGCGAATGGGGCATGCGATGTGCTGAGGAGGAGAGTGTATCAGCAGCCACGGCAGGAGCAGAGGGGGTGGGAGCATGTGGGCCAGTCGAAGCAGTCATGGCAGCGGAAGCAGCAGGTGGAGAAGGGGCAGCTGCAGCAGCACCAGGCATGCTGAAGAGGACATTTAAATCTAATGGAAAAGCATGCAGTCCGAACGAAGGTCCCCCTGTGGCAGTGCCTGTTCCTGCTTCTCCACCTACTCCACCTGATGCTGCTGCCATTGCTGCTCCTGTTCCCACTCCCGCTCCTGCTCCTCTTCCTGCTCCTGCTCCTGCTTCTCCTAGTGCGTCTGGAAATTCAGGTGCTGCCAAACCCACAGCATGTGTCATCATACCACTAAAGATGTCAAAACCCATCAGATCACCCATCATGCCCGCCTCACATGCCCCACCAAAGGAGCTTCCACCCAGGCCACCACTGCCATTACCACCGCCACTGCTGCCGCCACCACTGCCAACACCGGCGCTGCCGCTGCCAGCGCCACCACCACCCTTTTCTAACGAGCCTGCATGCGGGAAGGTATGGGCGAATGCATCTGGTGGCAGCAGGGAGTGCGAGGAGAGAAATCCAAAGGCGTCAGATTCTGCCATGGCAGCTCCACGTGTGCTAGATTCTGCAGGGTTCCAGAAATATGCAGACCCATGCCCCTCCTGAACGCCCACAGCAGTGCTGCTGCTGCTACTGCTGCTGCTACCGGTGTTGGCGCTGCTACTAGAGCCAATGGCGCTGGCGCTCGTGGTGTTGGGGTGGAATTGGTTGTTGTGCTTAGTTGCGTGCAAGCCTGTACCACTGCTGCCGTCTATTCCTGTTGCGTCTCCCAAGTGTTGTCCGGAAAGGTGTGTGGGTGAGTCTGAGCGGATAGAAGTGCGAGCAAGGACTCCCTGTAGGGTGTCCAGCAGGGGAGAGTGAAAGCGTTCCAAGGATGGTGTGACGGTGGAGGGAGGTTGATGGAAGGACCGGAAAGAGGAAATGGAAGGGAGAGATCCAGGAATGGTGGTGTCGGTTGGAGGGACGGTGGTGGTGGTGGGGTTGATAGAGGCAGAATTAGCTGGAGCAGACGCAGGAGGTACAGCAGTAGTTGCAGCAGAGGACACATCCGAGGGATGCGTAGACTGTGATAGGATGGAAGCAACTTGAGGCGCAGCATTGGTAGCTGTGAGACTGCTAGCAGACGTTGAAGCAGCCACAGCAGATGCAGCAGCAGTTGACGCAACACTAGCAGAAGGAGCAGCAGCAGAAGCTGCACCATCAGGAGCAGCAGGGGCAGCCGCAGATGCTAAAGCATCAAACATAGTACCAGCTCCTCCACCCGCCTCAAACATCCGTGCATCAAACCCATACTCTCCAGTAAAACCCCCACCAGTAAAACCCCCATCCACATCTTCTCTCAAATCCACATTAGGATCTACACCCAGTGTAGCAACAAAGTACTCAGAAGGAAGAAAAGGAGGAAGCGCAGGGAGGCCATCAGGAGAAAACCCAGTGGTGCTGTTGGTGGTGGTGGGAGTGGTGGTGGCAATCGTGTTGCTCTTACTGCCACCTCCAGCCCCTGACGATCCCAAGGGAGTTCCATTGGGCCCCCCTCCATACCACGCCCGGTTCCCATATGCGAAATGCGAGCCGGATTTGGAGTGGCCAGCAGAAGTTGGCGTGTAGTGGAATGGGGAGGAGGCCATGGGAGATGGGGAGGGGGATGAGACAATGTAGCGGGGAGCGGAAGGGGAAGGGGAGCTACGGTAGCTCCCGCTGCTGATGGCGCGAATGGCGATGTTGTGCGGTGCGTAGGGGTTGAGAGGGATGATGCCGCTGGACGCTGGGGAGGGGATGGGGCCAATGGAGCGGATAGAGGGAGTAGGAGAAGGTGAGGGGTTGGGGAAGACACCTGTACCTGCTGCTGCTGCTGCTGCTGCTGCTGTTGCTGCTGCAGGTGCTGCAGGTGGTTCTGCTATTCCTGTTGCTGATTCTGCTAGCCCTGCTGATCCTCCCCCTCCTGTTGCTGCTGCTGCTGGTGCGGATGCTGATGCTGCTGCTGATGCGGCTGCTGCCATTACTGCTGCCGCTGACGGGGTGTGAGGAGGCATGGGAGGTACAGGTGGGTCAAGAACGGAGAAACCTTCTCCCATCGCTGAACCAGGACAGTCTTGAACAGAACCAATTACACCAGCGTCGCCACCACCGGCAGCAGAAACAGTAGCAGCCACGGCAGGGGCGGCATTGGCATTGGCATTGGCAGCAGAAGATGCAACCAGTTGGTTTGAATGGACGTCATGGGGCACAACAGCACGCCCATCACTGCCACTCCCAACCCCTGCCATCCCTGCCATCCCTGCTGCTGCTGCTGCTGCTGCTGCTGCTGCTGCTGCTGCTGCTGCTGCTGCTGCTACTGTCCCACCTGCGAATCCTTCAACCCCACCTCCTCCTCCACCACCCCCCTCCCCTTCAACTCCTGTCTTACCCACACGAGAACCACCACCATCACCCCTTTCCCCCTCTCCTTCACCCCCTCCTCCCCTTCCAGCACTCCCACCCAACCCCCCTCTCGACGTTTCCTGGTGCACAGGAGAGCTGAGAGCACTCCCTCTGGATCGAACCCCCACCCTCCCTGACCCAGAAACACCAGTCGGCAACAGCCCTTGTTGCACCATCCCTGCCCCTGCCCCTGCCCCTGCCCCTGCCCCTGCCCCTGCCCCTGACGCCCTGTGCTGCCCTGCTGCCCCTGCAAGGTGCTTTCCGCCTGCAATGTGCTGCCCTGCTGCTGCCCCGGGGCGGAAGGAGCACGCAACCTGGCGTCTGACAGCGTCTAGAGAGTGGAGCACAGTGGATATGCTGGCATCGCGGGCCGTTACAGACCTCACCACCACCTCGCGAGGGGAATCCCATAACGATCCCACCACCTGCCCTCCTGTGGCTGCTGCTGCGGCTGCTGCTGGTGATGTTGCTGCTGCTGCTGCTGCTGTGGCTGGTGGTGCTGCGCCTGCAGCTGCGGTGGCAGTAGCAGTGGCAGGTGCTGCTTGTGTTGCTGCTCGCGTTACTGCAGAAAAAGTAGCAGAAGTAGCAGTGGCAGCTGCAGATGTGGCAGCGTCAACTGCTTTCAGACCAGCTGGGACAGCAGCAGGAACAGGAGCAGCAGGAGCAGCAATCGCATGTCCCCTTTCTGTTCCTTCAACAGAAGCAGCGGGAGAAACATTAGACGCCACACCACCACCACCCTCCCCTCCTTTCATCGTCCCATCCCCTCCTGTCCCCCCTCCTTCTACTTCCCCTCCTCCTGCACCTCCTCCCACGCCCACCCCTCCACCAGTCCCCCCAGCAGCAGTGGCAACAGCAGCCTTCTTGCTGGCGTGGGAGCGAAGGGGAGGGCGCGGGGGAATGGACAGAGGGGCCAGGGGGCCTGCCCTGAGAGTGGATGAGGAGGACCGCTGCTGCTGCTGCTGCTGCTGCTGTTGCTGCTGCTGGTGGTGGTGTAGATGGGAATAATGAGGCTCGTGGGACCCAGATGGGTTTGCTGGTGGTGCTGGTGCTGGTGTTGCTGCTCCTGTTACAAATGTTGAGAATGATAATGCTGGTGCCAACGCATGGTGTTGCTGCTGCTGCTGCTGCTGCTGCTGTTGCACCTCTTCACCTTTCACTGCTGCTAAGAGAGACTGGGAGTGGGACCCTCCTCCTCCTCCTCCTCCTCCTCCTCCTCCTCCTCCTCCTCCTCCTCCTCCTCCTCCTCCTCCTCCTCCTCCTCCTCCTCCTCCTCCTCCTCCTCCTCCTCCTCCTCCTCCTCCTCCTCCTCCTACTACTCCTACTACTCCTGCGCCTCCCGCAGCTGGTGCTGTCGGTGCAGCATATGCCGGTGGGGCAGTGTGAGTTGCAGCGGCATGAGGCGCCCCTCCCAGCTGGTCACATGGGGGGACCAAGGAAAGTAGTAGATGGGACGAAATGTGTCGGGCACGATGTGGACGCCACTCATGTAATTTAAACGAGTGTGAATAAAACGGATAGTTGACTTGACAGAGGGTTCTGTCTGGACCGGGGATAGGAACAAACTTGGATGGAAGCACGACGATGCTCACAGTGACACAGTCTACATCAATCAAGTGAGAATCAAATTGTTGAGTGCAGACTGTGAGCATCCATCTATCAAGCAAGCTTGTAGTGAAACGAGGTGAATTCCATGTCGACTCAAAAAAGGGGATGGGTGAGGTGAGCAGAGGGGCAGTGCCGCCGCTCACCAGAGGTGAGAGAGAAGCTAGCTTCTGACGCGGCAGTTCACCAGAGCTGCTTTTGCGAAGGGAGCTCACCAGGGGCAAGGGAGCTCTGATCCGAGGGGCATCGCAGCAGCAACCCACCCAGCAGGGGCGCAGAGGCGGCTTCTGCGAAGTTGAAAACTCGTCAAGACTTTCGAGACGGCAAAAGAAGCTCACCAGGGGAGAGGAGGCGGAGCGCAGGCACAGGTCGAGCAGCAGCTGGTCTTCCCTGCAGCGGAGCAAAGTGAGTAGAGGCGCGAGCATAGGGACAAACAGAGGGGCAGCATGGAACGCAGAGCTCACCCGGGGGGAGGAGGCGGAGCGCAGGCGCAGGTCGAGGAGCAGCTGGTCTTCCCTGCGGCGCAGCAGGTGCAGGCGGCGCAGACACGTGGTGAGCGTGGAGCTTGCTGCTGCTAGCTGCTGCTCCGTGGCATTCCTGGGAGCGCGGGGGGCGGGGGGGGGGAAAGAGGACGGGAAAGAGGTTCGAGTTTATTTTGACGGCTCAGAAAAGCAGCAGGTGCAGGCGATGCAGACACGTGGTGAGCGTGGAGCTTGCTGCTGCTAGCTGCTGCTCCGTGGCATTCCTGGGAGCGCGGGGGGCGGGGGGGGGGGAAAGAGGACGGGAAAGAGGTTCGAGTTTATTTTTAGACGGCTCAGAAAAGCAGCAGGTGCAGGCGATGCAGACACATGGTGAGCGTGGAGCTTGCTGCTGCTAGCTGCTGCTCCGTGGCATTCCTGGGAGCGCGGGGGGCGGGGGGGGGGAAAGAGGACGGGAAAGAGGTTCGAGTTTATTTTTAGACGGCTCAGAAAAGCAGCAGGTGCAGGCGATGCAGACACGTGGTGAGCGTGGAGCTTGCTGCTGCTAGCTGCTGCTCCGTGGCACTCCTGGGAGCGCGGGGGAGGGAGAGAGAGGGAGCGGGTTCATTCTGAGTCGACTAGAAAAGCAGCAGGTGCAAAGGAAGGGATGCAGACACGTGGTGAGCGTGGAGCTTGCTGCTGCTAGCTGCTGCTCCGTGGCACTCCTGGGAGCGCGGGGGAAGGATGGGGTGTGGTTCGGGTTGTGGGGGTTTGTGGAGACTTAGTGATGGGGGAGACGTGGCAAAGGCAGGCGCATGGATTCAGCATTTCAGTTTTCGGCTTTAGCAAAGTAGGTGATGAGAATGCGGGAGGGAGGACGTGGGAGGGTTAAAAGGGAGGGGGAGGGTGGACGAGGGGGGCGGAAAGTGCAACAACCAGAGCTCATAAGCCGAGGAAGGGACGTTAACTGACAAACACTCCCATTGATTTCACCATGTACATGCGCACGCACATGGGCATGCATGCACGTGCACACACACACACCTGTCAGCCCTGAGTGTGGCCAGTTCACTCCATCGTTCAGACCACCCATGCATCACTGCGACTGCAGATGCACTTGCTGCTGTGGCTGCCTGTGCCTGTGCCTGTGCCTGTGCCTGTGCCTGTGCCTGTGCCTGGGTCTGCGCCTGCGCCTGTGCCTGTGCCTGTGCCTGTGCCTGGGTCTGCGCCTGCGCCTGTACCTGTGCCTGTGCCTGCGCCTGTGCCTGGGTCTGCGCCTGCTGCAGCACCAGCATCTGTTGCTGCTCTTGTGGGGTTCGTGCTGCCGCCACACCATGCTGCAACGGCTGCTGCCGTTCCTGCTGCTGCTGCTGCTGCTGCTGCTGCTGCTGCTGCTGCTGCTGCTGCTGCTGCTGCTGCTGCTGCTGCTGCTGCTGCTGCTGCTGCTGCTGCTGCTGCTGCTGCTGCTGCTGCTGCTGCTGCTGCTGCTGCTGCTGCTGCTGCTGCTGCTGCTGCTGCTGCTGCTGCTGCTGCTGCTGCTGCTGCTGCTGCTGCTGCTGCTGCTGCTGCTGCTGCTGCTGCTGCTGCTGCTGCTGCTGCTGTTCCTGCTGCTGCTGCTGCTGCTGCTGCTGCTGTTCCTCCTCCTCCTGCTGCTGCTGCTGCTGCTGCTGCTGCTGCTGCTGCTGCTGCTGCTGCTGCTGCTGCTGCTGCTGCTGCTGCTGCTGCTGCTGCTGCTGCTGCTGCTGCTGCTGCTGCTGCTGCTGCTGCTGCTGCTGCTGCTGCTGCTGCTGCTGCTGCTGCTGCTGCTGCTGCTGCTGCTGCTGCTGCTGCTGCTGCTGCTGCTGCTGCTGCTGCTGCTGCTCCTGCTGCTGCTGCTGCTGCTGCTGCTGCTGCTGCTGCTGCTGCTGCTGCTGCTGCTGCTGCTGCTGCTGCTGCTGCTGCTGCTGCTGCTGCTGCTGCTGCTGCTGCTGCTGCTGCTGCTGCTGCTGCTGCTGCTGCTGCTGCTGCTGCTGCTGCTGCTGCTGCTGCTGCTGCTGCTGCTGCTGCTGCTGCTGCTGCTGCTGCTGCTGCTGCTGCTGCTGCTGCTGCTGCTGCTGCTGCTGCTGCTGCTGCTGCTGCTGCTGCTGCTGCTGCTGCTGCTGCTGCTGCTGCTGCTGCTGCTGCTGCTGCTGCTGCTGCTGCTGCTGCTGCTGCTGCTGCTGCTGCTGCTGCTGCTGCTGCTGCTGCTGCTGCTGCTGCTGCTGCTGCTGCTGCTGCTGCTGCTGCTGCTGCTGCTGCTGCTGCTGCTGCTGCTGCTGCTGCTGCTGCTGCTGCTGCTGCTGCTGCTGCTGCTGCTGCTGCTGCTGCTGCTGCTGCTGCTGCTGCTGCTGCTGCTGCTGCTGCTGCTGCTGCTGCTGCTGCTGCTGCTGCTGCTGCTGCTGCTGCTGCTGTGATTTCAGCAAATGTGTGTTTTCATTTCTGTCTGGCATTTCTCTCTCACCTCCTTTCCCACCCTTCTGGCCGCCCTGATCCCTACTCTTTTCACCACTCACCCTAGCATCACTACTAGCACTACTAGTAGTAGCACTCCCAGCACCACTACTAGCACCATTCCTTGCATCACCCCCTTCTTCCACTCCCCCACATGCAGCATCTGTCGTCCTCTCAATCGGCACTGGATAGGCAACTAAAGATCCTTCCTTCCCTTCTCCTTCTCCTGCTGGCTTTTCAGTCTCTCCTCTCCGCTCAAACCCCCCCACACATTCTGTCTGCGTTGCATCCCCGAGTTCCCTCCTTTCCTCCTCCACCCCGTGTGACCCGTCTTGACCTCTCAGCTCCCCAGCTTCCTGTGAACTCACACCCACAGGCACTCCTTCGCTCACTCCCTTACTCACTCCCTCATTCGCTCCCTCACTCGTTCCCTTGCTCACCGATTGACCAATCATCTGCACCTCACCTTCACCCTTTCCCGTGGTTTCCCTCCATCCACACGCCTTCCCTACATTCTCCTCCCCTTCCCCCTCTCCCCTTCCTCCTTCTCCCTCATCTGCTCCCTCCCCTGCCTCCGTCCCTCCTCTCCTCTCCCCTCCTCTCTCCACACTCCCATCCCCACCCTCTCCTCGTCCCATTCCCAATGATGCAGCGTCATCCCCGCACTCTTCCACCCCCTCTTCCCCCACCTCCCCCTCTCTCTGGCAACTCAGCCCCTCCGTCCCTACCTCTGCACCACCTGCGACCGTTTCACACCCCAACGAAACCCCAAATTCAGTGAACCTAGACGCTTCTTGAGACGAATCCAGGCCAATCGCAGGCTCTCTCACCCCCTCAGCACCAGTCCTATCCTCAGCCCTATCCCCACTGATATGGCTATAGTTACCACTCGTCCTTGCCACCCCCACCTCCTCTGTCTGTGCTCCTTCGGTCTCCGTTTCAGCTACTCTATCATGTTCCGCTACGCTATCACCTTCAGCTCTTCCCCTTGTCTCCTCACGCTCCTCCTGTGCGGAAACGACTCTCTTCTGTTTCTCCCCAATCACTTCCTTCCCCCAGACTGGCTCTTCAGCCCTCCGCCCTCGCCCCCCTACCCTTCCGCTCGCCCCTGTTCCCCTCCCCCTGCTTCTATCTCCCCTTCCCCCTGCGCCATGCGCGCTCCCTTCCCCAGCGGCTACGCGCAACTTTTCCCCCTGCTCTCCGCTCCGCCCGCCCAGTGCCGCTTTCCCCCTGACGCCCGCGCGCCCTCTGCTTGCGCCGTCGCCCCGGCCAGCGGTCCCTCCGCCGCTTCCCCCGCTGCTGTTCCGCACAGCAGTGACCATTTCTCTCCGCGCATGCACCCCGGGCGCGCCGATCTCACTCTCCGCGCACGGGCAGTATCCGCGCAAGCCTAATCCGCGCACGCCGCCTTCCCGCGCCTGCGGGGTGACGCAAGTTAGGAACCCCCGGTAGGTCAGTCGGAATAAGAAGCGGAGAGCAGGAGTTTTGAGGAGACTCAGAAGTCACCCGCGCAGAGGAGAAAAGGAGACTAGAAGCACAAGTGACTCGGGACGGAGGAGATTGCGAAGAAACGGCCGAAGCTGCTAATTAAGACAGTCCAGTGTGATAAATTAGAGCGTATTCCCACGCCTGAACAATAGGCGGATGCGAGGGAGTGAGCATGGCAATATGAATACAACGATATACACGACTATCGCGACCCGATTGAGGCATTCGGCCTCGGAACCTGGTCGATTCTAAAAGGTTGCACTTTCGCCTCTCGAAATTGGACGACTTTAGAGATGTATTAAAAAGAGCGGCGTGGGAAAAGCTAGGCCGCTAGTACTTTCGTCTCACGGAACCCACGAGTTGTCGTCGACAGAACATGCTCTTGCGCACGTCAGACCAGCATCATGCGACAAAGCAATGCAGACAAATGCCAGACTCATAGAGCATACAACATACATGGATCAGCCTTCGGCGAAATCTATGATCAGTAGTATTGCTGCGGCGAGGCTGTGATCCGAGGGTGTTATGGACCTCTGTTGTTGTGGAATCGAGGGTGGAGGTGACAAACAAGTGCGAGATCTACTTGAGGAAACTTTACAAACAGATGGAAGAAATATTGAAACGAATGACTTAATAAAGGAGCAACGTCTTCATAGCGAGGCTTGAGACCGTGTTCCTGGAGCAAAACATCAGTCAAGTGACACCTAGAAAAAGCCATCGACCGCAACGATACTTCCAGTACAGTAGACTTGGAGGCGTTTCGTACTCACTTCGCATCTTGTGACTTCGATGAAGCCACTTTGCATTGTTGAATTGAGCAGCCCAATCCTGGCCGTAATTGCTGGAGTTCGCACTGGAAGCTGTGACTGCTGACCACATGGAATGGGAGTTCAAGGTTCAAGGTGCCTGGAGTTTGAAACGCATAGGCGAAGACAGGCGAAACACAGACCAGAGGATTTGATCCAGTTTCCACGTGCTTCGACACTTGCTTTCGTAGCTTGACCGCCTGCTCTGCGCTTCCAGCAGGCGACTCTTTCCCGCGTTATGCGGAAGCCGTTGCGGAATGCGACAATCGTCTGTCGCCGTCATGCGACCGCTGCTGCGACGAGCTCCAGGTCACCGGCGACGGATCGCCGCGATCCTTCTCGTCTTATCGCTGACGTCAGCCATGGTTGTCCTGCTGGTAGGATACCGGGCAGGCAGGGAGATGGACGATGGAGGCGCGGCGCGGCACGAAGCAGCGCCCAGTATAACGGGCATGAAAGGCGATGCGCGGGAGGAGGAGGGGGAACGGGGGAGCGCAGACGGGGAGAGAGCGCGGTGCGAGGGCGCGGAGACGGCGCCGCGTCGCGAGAGGATCCCGTTCCCGCCCATGACAACGGATATGATCGCATTGGCTGAGGTGAGCCGTTGCATGGTGACTTTTGAGGCCAAATTTTCAGGTGACTTCTCACTTGACTTTTCAGGTGTTCAGCCTCAAAAGTCACCCGGTTCGGCTGGTACGGTCGCTGTGACCGAGGTGAGCCGTTGCACGAGTCACTCTCGAGAGCGTGACTCATCTCATCTCACGCGTGGCTCACATTATCGAGCTCTCATCTCATTAGTGACTCCATCCCATCCCACGCGTCCCTGTCTGTCTGTGTCCGTCTGTTGGTTCGTCTGTTGGATGGATGGAGCCAGATCGCCTGGTTGGGCTGATGTGACTAGCTAGAAGCAGCTCACTTGTAGGATGGATGGAGCAGCTCTTCCTCCTCCTCTCTCACTCTCCCCTTACTCTCTCTCCCTTCACCCCCAAATCCCTCCCCCCCCCCGCCCCCCCCACCTTTTGCCCCATGCGATTTTCGCATATTCTCAAAAACCGCTCGCATTCTCTTCCCCTTTGCACTGTGCCCCTTGCGCCCAGCAGGACTCTCTCTCTGCTCGCCTGCTCTCCATGTGTGCGTGTGATGCCGTGGCTGTGACTACACACCTCACACTGCAAGTCATCTGGTCAACTGCTGCTGCAGCTGCCGCTGGTGATGCTGCCGGTGATGCTGCTGCTGCTGGTTTTAACGCGACAACTTCTTCTGCTGCCAATGCCGGTGCCACCACGGGCACCACCAGTAGTGATAGTGGTAGCAGTGGTACCAGCAGCGGCAGATGCAGGGATACAAGCAGTCATGGCAGGCTCAGCAATAGCCATGATACAAGCGAAGGGAGTGGCATCAGAGAAGGGTTTTCCAGCCCGTCTTGTGCTTATAACGAGAGGAGCTACCAGCAGATGGAGGGCGTCAGGTTCTCCGATCTGTTCGATGGCCGAGTGGGTGACGTGGCAGTCATTGATTGGCCTCCTGTAGGAGCTGGAACAGGAAGTGTAGGAGCGGCAGCAAGAGGAGGGAAGGGAGGAGGCGGAGAAGGAGGAGTAGGAGGAGGAAGAGGAAGGTGGGGCGATGAGGCGAAAGCAGGGCCGTGGGGTGATGAGGGATGGGCAGGTGGGGGGGTGTTTGAAGCACTACCAGCGCAGTTCACTCGTGTCAAGGTAAGTGGTTGCTGTTGTGGTGTGGTGTGGTGTGGTACGGTGTGTAGGAAGGTTAATGGGCAAGTAGCTAATGGCTTTCAAATATGGGCGATGCTGCACATGCACATTCACATGCACAAGTCCTTTGACAAGCCTGTGCATCATGGTCATACCGTGACAGCAATCTCATCCCTTCCGCCCATGCAACATGGCTTGGTATCGAATGGCGTGGCATGGCATGATATGGCACAACGTTGCGTGGCATGGCATGTTATGGCATTTTATGGCATGTTATGGCATGTTATGGCATGGCACACAGGTTCAATCATCTCCCTGCTCCAGTAAGTGGCCTGGCACACCCACAGGAGGCAGCAGCAGCAGCATCAGTGCGAGTAGCACTGCCTCTGAAACGCAGAGGGGGCATGGAGAGGCCTCAGGAGAGGGTAGCAGCAGAGGGGTGGGGAGTGGAGGGATGGGGAGAGGTGGGACAGCAGGGAGTGAACAGCACATGCATGCATGGCTGTCCGGTGTGTTTGACTCTCTGCTGCTGCTCGTGCACACGAGTAAACAGTCAGAGCTGCTTTCGAAGGTAAGGGCGTGTGAGCTCTAAAACACGTTCCTTCCCCCTCTTTTTCATACCGGCTCTATGTGTGCGTATAAGTGACTAGCCAAGCTCTTTGTCACGCCTCGCTAGCCAGTACCAGTACCTGCCAAAGCAATTCTTTCCGCACGCTAAGTCCTCTGTACTCTTGAGCGATTTTATTTCTCATTTCTCTCTCGTTGTTTTCTTTTTTCTTTTCTTTTCTTTTTTCTAGAAGCAACCCTCAAGAGCTCCCCCCTTCCCCGCTTCCCCTTCACTCCCCCCTTTTCTCCGCTCCATCCTCCCACTTAACCTCTCCGCCCCTACTGTCTCTTTCCCTCTCTTCCCTCTTTCCTGCACTCCCGCAGTTCCCCCTTCCCCAGTGCCACCTGCAGCAGCACTTCACAGCATGCCTGGCTCGCTTGCGCCCCTCTCCCCCCGTTGCGGCCATGGTCGGCCGGGAGAGGCTCAAGACACTAGTGAGACGCAGTGCTGCTGTGCTCTTGCAGGTGGGTGTGTGTGTGGGGGGCGGTGAGCCCATCTCGCATCTGCAAGCATGTCTGCGTTGTCTTGAGATGTCTCGAAACTTGAGACGTTTCAACACCAACAGCCTCAATAAGCCGAACATCTATCTAGGGCGATTTGCAATTTGCAATCCCGCCATCTTCATCCCACGCTACACAAGGCTAGTCAAGAACCCTCCAACCGGTGATTCCAGTGATTCCAGTGACTCTGTCGATTGGAATTTGAGGTTTCAGCCCACGTCAATGTCCAACCCCCCTTGCTTCTCTTCTCCGCCCTCCACATCCCTCTCTCGCCTCCCCAGCCTTCAAGCAGCCAATCAGGAGCCGCCACGTGTCCAGCGTGTCGGGGGAGCCGTTCGGTGGAGGAGTGTGTGAAGAGGGCGGTGGGGCAGCGCATGCTCATGAACCCCCGTGCTCGCTTCGTGCTTGCTGCCACCACTCATGCTGCTGCTGCTGCTGATGGTGACAGTGGCAGTGGTAGCAGCAGCAGCAGCAGCAGCGGCGGCGGCGGTGGTGGCAGTGTGTTGAAGGCTGCATACCGCCTGATGTCTGTGTTCTCCCATCCGCCACCCGCGCTGATTCATGCGCTTGAGCAGCAGCACGAGCAGCAGCAGCAGTACGAGCAGCAGCAGCAGCAACAACAGCTCCTACAGAGCCCACAGCAGTCAAACGTTACGGACGGCGGAGAAGTTATTGAGGGGAATGAAATGGAGAGACCACTGCCACAGCAGCCACAGCAGCCAGACGCAAGAGAAGGAGGTCTAGGTGCTGTGCAGAGGGAAGGTGGTGTGCGGTTGCGTACACGGCTGCTGCAGGAGAAGGAGGAGGAGAAAGAGGAGGAGGAGGAGGAGGAGGAGGAGGAGGAGGAGGAGGAGGAGGAGGAGGAGGAGGAGGAGGAGGAGGAGGAGGAGGAGGAGGAGGAGGAGGAGGAGGAGGAGGAGGAGGAGGAGGAGGAGGAGGAGGAGGAGGAGGAGGAGAAGCGGGATGACAAGGAGAAGACAAAGGATGAGGTGGCTGAGAAGGAGGAGAGTGAGGGAGTGGTGATGCGAGAGGGGCAGGAGAGTCATGAGCCACTGCCGAAGCCACAGCGAGAGCCCTTACGTCCTCTGCAGCAGCAGGCACAGCAGCAGGAACAGCAGCAGCAGCAGCAGCAGCAGCAGCAGGTGCACAAGAGCACTTTACCCCGCATCTCCCTGCTCCTAGCCTCACAGCTGCAGTGGAGTCTAGTGCGTGGAGGCGTGGTGGAGCAGCACAGTGAGCGTGGGCCGCTTTCAAGAAGAACGCACAATGACCGTTTGGTAGGGCACAGCATGCATGACTTTCATGACTTTCATGACTATATTTCGAGAGCTTTCAAGGGCCACTTGGTGGAAAGGGGTCCAGTGGTTGTTGAGGGCGGCAGGGTGGTGGATCAGGTTGGTGATAGGGGGGGGAACTGGGAGGATGGGGAGGAAGAGGAGGAAGAGGAGGAAGGAGAAGGCGAGGGGGCTGAAGGCACGAAAGATGATAGTACAGGCGGTGATGGTGGTGGTGCTGCTGCTGCTGCTGGTGCTGGTGCTGCAGGATATGAGGAGGACAGGACTAGTTTCGAAGGGAGCTTGGCGTTTCCATGTGCTGGGGATGGGCTTGGATTGGACAGGTTGATGCCTACGGTTGGAGTTGCAAATGCGTCTTCAGCAGCAGCAGCAGCAGCAGGAGAAGCAGGAGGGGGGGGGGGAGCTGAAGGAGCAGCAGGAGCAGGTGGTGATGTGTGTTGTCCTGTGGTGCTGTCTCCGTCTGGACGGGTGTTTCTACAGCGGAAGGGGGTGAGTGAGGAGGAAATGCGAGCACTTGTCGTACAGGGTCCGGCCACGCAAAAGAGACAAACACAGCAGCAGCAGAAGCAGCAGCAGCACGAGTATCCTGCTCGTTCCCACTATCCACTGCGTGGGCTTAAGCCGCTGTGGTGGTGGTGGAAGCAGAGGTGGTTTAATGGCAACGCACATCCCTGGGGTGGAGAGGAGCAGGGCGATGAGGGGAGAAGAGCACACGTACAGCACCAGCAGCGTATTCTTTTCGCTCAGTACTCTGTAATGTCCTATCCTGATCGGGTTCTGAGTATGTAGACTGGGCGAAGTGCTGTCGTCTTTCTTTCTTTCTTCCTTCCTTTCTTTCTTTCTTTCTTTCTTTCTTTCTTTCTTTCTTTCTTTCTTTCTTTCTTTCTTTCTTTCTTTCTTTCTTTCTTTCTTTCTTCCTTTCTTTCTTTCTTTCTATCTTTCTTTCTTTCTTTTCCCCCTTTTTGTTGCTCCCTAGTTTTGAGCTCTCAGGTGTGTTTCTTCTCGCCATTTTTTTTCTGATGGCTTCACTCACCACTGCCATGCATTCTTCCTCAATGTTTTTTCATGCCTTCTCTTCACGCCACTCCCTCCACTTTGTGACTCGTTTTCCTTCTCTTGACCGGCCCTCTTCAGCACACACTGTCTTTCTCTCTGCATCCTCACTCTGTTTCTTTCCTCTTTAACCCCTCTCAACTCAAACAACTCAGCCTTTCTCCAAACTTCCTCCTATCATATCCCCGTTTTCAATATTCCCTCCTTTACCCGCTTCTCCTTCCCTCTTTCCGCCCTTTCTTCCTGCGCTCCTCTTCCCATTCAACCCTCCCCCCATGCCACCCCTACCTCCCGCCCAGAAACCCCTCAGCTTTCAGCTCTCTTGACAGCAGCCCAGGCGCAGTATCTCATATTCGCCTACCATTCCGGAGACTCTGCATTCATCCAAGCCCAGGCGTCGTCCCTCTCAGGGTCCTTCCTCGCCTCCTCGCCTCTCTGCCACCCTCTCGCGCTGCCGCCGGTCCCAGTGCATTCTCTCCCCTTGGTGCAATACTCGCAATTCCAAGGTTTGTGTTGTGAGACTTCTGAATGTCGCCTGTCCCTGGTGCTAACTAACCAAAGGGCCTCGTTCCTTGTGCTGTCGTTGCCCCATCTGCCTTTGTTTTGTGTGTCATCAAAACACAAGCTGTGGTTATTGGACCATGCCAGTCCATCTAACCATGTTCATCCTGTCGCGCTATCGCATTCATCAACGTTTCTGGTTAAAAACTCGTCATTCCCCCTCCACCCTCCCACGCCCCACTCCCCACGCTCTTTATCGCCCTATGCCGTGCCCTCCATCCCCACTACAATCTCCCTGTCCCAGCATCGTCACATGCACTGCTGTGCTCTGTGGACACTCCGCCTGCTGGTGTATCCTGGGCTAGCATCGCCTTAGCCATGCACACAAACACACGCTCGCAGGCTGCTAATGCTGCTGCTGCTGCTGCTGCTGCTGCTCTTGCTGCTGTTAGATCTGAAGCCAATCATACAGGAATCGATAATGCTGGAGAAGGGGATAAAAGGCGGCAGAGGGAGGCGAGAGAGGCTGGGGAGGAAACGGAGAAGGAGAGGAAAGAGGAGGAGGAGAAGGAGGAGGAGGAGGAGGAGAGGGAGGAGGACGCGTTGCTGTGGTTGTTGACGAGTGGGCAGTGGCGCAAGGTGGCGCTTCTCAGCAATCCATACCTGCGTGCTGCTCGATCCTTCCTCCACGTCTGCCATCTCATGCTGGAGGAGCCTACTCAGCTTGCGTGCAGCAGCAGCAGCACATCAGCTGCTGCTGCGGCTGTGCTGTTCCAGCAGTATGTGTGTGGTACAGGCCGAGCAGCACAGGTGGCACGGGAGCATGCACGGGCTACTAGGGAAGCGTCTGTTTTTGTGCAGCAGGTGAGAAACTGCCAACCAGCTCTTTGGTTGGGGTTGTCGATTTCGTCGCAAGTTGACGATTCTGTTGCAGTTGCAAATCGTGCTGCTGTTGCCATTGCTCCGCTCTGCATAACACACCCTTCTCCATTCTGCATAATCCGCACGCCGTTCACTTCGTATCCTTCCTCTCCACCTCCCCCTCCCACTTCCCCACTGGTCTCTCTCCCTGCCATATCCACTCTCTCCCCTCCCTTCTCTCTCATCCCCTCCTCCTCCTCCATTTCTCTCCCCTCCCTTCCAGGTGCATGCATGTTCCCTAGAGAGCATCAAATATGACTCCATTCTGCACATTGATTCCGCCGCTCCTTCCTCCTCCCTCACTCACCCTCTCCCTCCCTCCCGAACCTCCTCCCTAGCCTCTCTCGTGTCCCCTGAGGAATGGGAACGTGTGGCTCGTGACCTGCGCCTGCCCTCTGTCTCCCATGCCATCCATCAGTTGCTGCCTCTAGGCCTGCCTCCTCCCCTTCTTTCCCGCACTCTGCTTCAATTGTATAGCAAGGTACAACCAACCTCCCATTTGAATTGGTTAACTGCTAACCCACCCTCGTGTGTTTCTCAGCCCTAGTCTCTTTGTGTTTATTGCTTGTGTATTCTAGGCCTCTTATGGACCTGCACAGCAGCACCCCATTCGCCTTCTTAACTCATAACCATCGCTTTGCCACCCTCTCCCCCTTTCGCCCCTCCACTCCCCACCCTCTGCTCTCCCCCTTCCTGCCCTGCCTTTTGTTTCTCCCATGAGCAGGTTGCCTTTGGGTGTGTGAAGAGGCTGAATCAAGCGGACATGGCAATCAGGCTCAATGACGCTGCCTTCTATGTTCCCCAGGCTCTCTTTGACAGGTTTGTTCGCAATGCTGCTGTGAATTTCTGGCAGAGTAGTACCACAAATGCTACCGGTAGTAGATATCTGCAACAAAGAGGCTGATTACTGGAATGACTAGCTATGATTTTGGCAGAGCGGAAAAATAGATGGCTGGAAAATTTAGGCGGAATAGGGGAAAGAAAGGGAGGTTGGGGTTGGAAAGTGAAGTGTTTCCCCATTTGCTGTGATCACACCTTTTCAGATACGGTGAAACTAGGTTACATTATTTACAAACCAAGGCCAGAGTCGTCGTCATCCTCAGCAAGCTTGTTCTGGTACACAAAGAATAGCGCCCAGACTCCTGTGAACACCGCAGCGACGACCCATGTAAGGTTATTGTCGCTCAGGCCTAGAGGCAACCCGGTTCCCTCGCCTCCTAAAATGGTCTCTACAGCGGCGACGGACGGCAGAGCGGCGGTTGCCGTGGCTAGTAAGGTAGTGGAGACGGCAAGAGCAGCCTTCTTGTGAGGCCTTTCAGCGGAGCATGTCACGCGGGACGCGCGGAGCAACGGGAGACCTGCAGGAGCACGTGGATCGCTGGTGGGTGGTAAGGACAATTGTACCGTACGTGCCAGACGTCAGGGGATCAAACGTCACTCAGACAGTGGCAACCAGTGTGGTTAAAAATATTCTCACCAGCAGAATGAGCAGCCACAATTTGCTTCTGCGAGACCGACTTCTGCAAGAGGCAGGCTACGCTGGATGAGGGTGCAGCGACGGTAGCCATGCCCACAGATTACGTAGCTTGACAAGTCTGGTGTGCTGCTATGCCTTCTAGAATCCTGGAACTGAATTTCGAGTCTGACCTCTGGGATCCGGTATCATCGTTCACTGGGAAACTCTGCCCTCCTGTCCTCTGGAATACAGTGTCATGCGAATGTGCGATGCGGTTGTGTGCGAGTGTATGCCTACACCTCGGAAAATCTCCACGGAGCATGGTTTTCCTTATCAAATGAACGATCAGATTTGTTTTGCTTTTGGAGATCGATGCAGCTTGGCCTGATGAGTTTATGAACTGAGTGAGTCCATGTCGATGGAGCGCTTTGGATGGTTGACGAGGGAAGAAGGTGCGGCGAGGAAGTGTCTCAGTGTTTCTGCTTAAGAAAGGACTCGGGTTTTCATATCAGTCACGTGAAACCAGTTCGTAACACCTGGAATCCAGCTACTATCTATCTGTATACATGTTATCTCCTTTACATTCTTTTCAACTGTAAACAGATGCTTCAACACATAAGCTATGCAAGTAGAGATATATATTATATGCTAAAAACTAGAGTTAACCCAAATTTAATATCAACTTCTTTAAGCGCGCACGTTGTTACGAGCAGTAATTATTGAAACATTACTATGCACTCCTCACAGTAGCAAGCGAAGCACGCACTACCGAGGTTGAAGACGACAAGGCGGAAGTGACGCGAAGGGTTGCACGGTTACGAAAGCATCTGGACGGTCGGGCAGACAGCATCAAACAGCAGCTATGGCGAACATTACTGCCCGAACAGTTTTGTAACTGTATGGAGTCGCATGGTTTCATAAGGGAATGTACCCATCAGAGTAAATGGCTAGCTAGGTCGATTGGTATTCCTTTGTACTCTTATTTATAGTGCTATATTTGCATGTTTTTATCGTCTCAAGCATTTTACATTCACTCTGCTATTGAGGTCACGGACCCACCACCGCTAAATCAATAGTGTGCGAACCTTCCTGAGGTGATCCTTGCTACGATTAACTTCTGATCGCAACACACGTGCGTAACTAAAGTGGACAACTTATTGACATACACAGGAAAATATTGTTAGAACATTATAGCTTATGCTTTTGTGTAGGCTGTAGTCGGGTATCCCATAAGGGGGTACAACCCAATTAGGGTTAGTACTTGTACCCACTTCATTCATAGTTCATTCATTCTCGTTTCAATCTTCTCATGGTATCGAGCAGGATCCCTCGTGGGAACTGTGCCTAGGGCCCACCAAGTCGAAAGTTTTTTTTTCCTGCTCATAGCGCGCTCAGCCCGAGTCGCGCTCCCCTCTCTAACTTCGTCAAGCCGCCCTAGCGGCCAAGTCGCGCCGCCTTAGCGGCCCCTGATTCGTCACCCTAGCGACCTCGTCGCCCTACCTACGGCCCTGGCCCCGTCGCCCTACCTGCGCCCCGGCCCCGTCGCCCTACCTGCGCCTCGGCCCCGTCGCCCTACCTGCGCCCCGGCCCCGTCGCCCTACCTGCGCCCCGGCCCCGTCGCCCTACCTACGACCCCGGCCCTGACGCCCCCCTTGCGACCCTGGCCCCGTCGCCATACCTGCGCCCCGGCCCCGACCCCGTCGCCCTGCTTGCGACCCCGGCCCCGTCGCCCCACCTCCGACCCTGGCCCCGTCGCCCTACCTGCGCCCCGGCCCCGTCGCCCTACCTTCGCACCGGCCCCGTCGCCCTACCTTCGACCCGGCCCCGTCGCCCTACCTACGGCCCGGCCCCGGCCCCGTCGCCCTACCTACTGTCAGAATATTATCTTATTGTTCTAGCCTGTAGTGGGGTGCTCTATAGCGAGTACAACCCTTCTAGGGTTTGCTATTTGTATCCTCATTCTTGCTAGTTCAATCCTCTTTCTTTCTTCAAACTTTGTCACCTACAACCCGGCCCCGTCGCCCTACCTTCGACCCGACCCCGTCGCCCTACCTACGGCCCGGCCCCAGCCCCGTCGCCCTACCTACGTGTCAGAACATATAGCTTACTTGTTTCTGTAGGCTATAGTGGGGTATCCCATAGGGGGTACAACACAATTAGGGTTTCCTATTTGTATTCACTTCACTTCATAGTCATTCATTCTCGTTCTTTGATTTCACATGGAATCAGAGCAGGTTCCCTCCTAGGGACTGCTTCTAGGGCCCACCGAACCGCGCCCCGAGGCGCGTTTTTTTTTTAGCGACCCGTCGTGTCGCCCCTAGCGGCCCGTTGCGCCGCCCTTCCCCTAGCGGCTCCGCCGCCCTTCCCTAGCGGCCCCGCCGCCCTTCGATCGCGGCCCCGCCGCCCTCTGCTACGCGGCCCCGCCGCCCCCCCTTCGATCGCGCCCCCCCCCCCCGCCCTTCGATCGCGGCCCCGCCGCCCTCTGCTACGCGGCCCCGCCGCCCTCTGCCACGCGGCCCCGCCGCCCTCTGATACGCGGCCCCGCCGCCCTTCGATTGCGGCCCCGCCGCCCTCTGCTACGCGGCCCCGCCGCCCTCTGCTACGCGGCCCCGCCGCCCTCTGCTACGCGGCCCCGCCGCCCTCTACTACGCGGCCCCGCCGCCCTCTGCTACGCGGCCCCGCCGCCCTTCGATCGCGGCCCCGCCGCCCTCTGCTACGCGGCCCCGCCGCCCTCTGCTACGCGGCCCCACCGCCCTCTGCTACGCGGCCCCGCCGCCCTCTTCGGTCGCGGCCCCGCCGCCCTTCGATCGCGGCCCCGCAGCCCTCTGCTACGCGGCCCCGCCACCCTCTGCTACGCGGCACCGCCGCCCTCTGCTACGCGGCCCCGCCGAGCCGCCCGGCATCAGCTGAGCCGCCCAGCAGCAGCCGAGCCGCCGCCGAGCCGTCGCCGCCCGAGCCGCCGCCGAGCCGCCGCTGAGCTGCAGCCGAGCCGCCGCCCGAGCAGCCCGAGCCGCCCGAGCCGCCCGAGCCGCCCGAGCCGCCCGAGCCGCCCGAGCCGCCCGAGCCGCCTGAGGAGCCGTGCTGCTGTTCCTGAGCTGTGTTCCTCTGCTGCTGACCTACCCGACTCTCCCAGCCCGGTGAGACTTTCAGCTGCTGCCATGGCCACCCCCAATGTTCTTACTTTTGACGCTGAGGGGAGGGCCATTGACTTTGCCGTCTGGATTGAAGACCTGCAGCTGTACTTACTGTGTGATGCGATAGATGAGGTCTCTCTCTTTGACTTTGTCTCTGGCGCTGTCCCTGCCCCACCTGCTGATGCTGACTCTGCCGTTCGCTCCAAGTGGGCGACCCGCGATGCTGCTGCACGTCTTGCTGTGCGTCGCCACCTCCCTTCCTCTGAGCGTGCCCACTTTAGTCAGTGCAAGACCGCTCAGGCCTTGTACGACGCTGTAGTTGCACGCTACTCCTCCCCTTCCTCCGCTACCCTTAGCCGCCTCATGCTACTGTTTCTCTTCCCTGACCTCGCTTCCTTTCCCACTGTCGCTGACCTCGTTACCCACCTCCGTGCTAGTGACACCCGCTACCGCGCTGCCCTTCCTGCTGAGTTCCGCGCTGCGAACCCTCCTCCTATGTACATCACTCTCTACTTTCTCGTCACCCGTCTCCCTGAGTCCCTTCGTGTCGTTAGGGACCAGTTTCTCTCTGTCTGTCCCACCACTCTCACTGTCGACCTCCTTGAGGAGTCCCTGCTAGCGGCTGAGAAGAGTATTGTCGCTGTAGGGGCCTCTCGGGGTGACCCTCGCACCCCCATCTTTGAGGGGTGTGGTCCTTCCCCCCTGCTGCCCTCTGTCGCCTCTGCCGCTGCGGCCGACCTCGCTGGTTTTGAGTCGGTCGGCGCGGCGTCTGCCCCCAACGGCAGACGCCGCTCTGGCAAGGGCAAGGGGGGCAAGGGAGCGGGTGGAGCTAGAGGGGGCGGTGGAGGAGGCGGTGGGGGTGGCGGGGGGAGTGGGGGTGGCGGTGGGGGTGGTGGCGGGAGTGGAGGTACTGGTGGCGGCAGTGGAGGCGGAGGTGGCGGCGGAGGTGGTAGCGGAGGAGGCGGTGGGAGCGGTGGGAGCGACGGTCCTGGTGGGGGAGGTGGCGGTGGAGACGGGGGTGGCGGTGGAGGCGGGGGTGGCGGTGGAGGCGGGGGTCAGAGTGGCTCGTCCCAGCGGAGCAGCTCTGGGGGTGGTCAGCGCCAGCAGCAGCACCAGCAGCAGCCGCAGCAGCAGCCACAGCAGCAGCAGCGCTCTCGCACCGTCCTCGCCCCTCAGCAGCTCCGTGAGTGGTACTTGCAGCGTCAGCGTGGTGGTGCGCTTGGTCCCTGCCCCTACGTTCTTCGCACCGGTGACCGTGCAGGGGAGAGGTGTGGAGGCGCCCACACAGCCCGCCGCTGCTTTGGCCGCCTGACC